CACGTTAATTAGCTAATTAATCTCCGAGGGAACTTTCTCTTTAGCACACTGCCTTTCCAGGGGCCTGTTCATCTGGAGCAGCAGCCCCTCCCTGAGAAGTTGCCACCTTTAGGAAGTGCCATTTCCCTGGAACTGCCCTGGGGCCTTGCTCTACATCATTCTTAATCTTTTTTCTCTTTAGGCCTTCTGCCTCTTAACCCTGGGGGCAGAGTGGAGCACACGGAAGGGGCACAGCAGGTAGCAACTTAAGGGCAAGTTAGAGGCGGGAGTTGAATGGACCCCAGTTTGAGCAGGTGAAGCAGGACCATGGAGAGCTCACAGGCCTAGGTAAAGGATTTACGGAGCATCAAGAGGCAACAGTACTGGGCACTGACTGGAGAGGAGGGAGTGTGCAAAAACAGGGCAGGCCTGGCTCTGGTCCACTCAGAAGTTCACAACTGACGTGAGCAGCTGGAAATAGAACAGCTTTAACCGAGGTATAATGAGAGGGTTGTTAGAACATGGGAGGTGGATGAAGTAGTCCCCTGGTATAGGAAGAGTAGACAATCAGGAAGGCCTCTGGGAGGAGGAGGCACTTGAGTTGAGCTTTGGAAGACAAGATTTCAACAGGTCTAACAACTAACTCAGAGCTGGGCTCTCAGAGGTACTTACTCAATAGATGTACTCGTTGAACAAAGAACTGATGGATGGATGAACTGGCGGGTAGATGGATGGATAGATGAGGAGACAAAATGCAACAAGGCAGAGCTAGCCTCCCAATGTGCACAAGACACTGCAGTGGTCTTGGAGGTCAGATGGTCGGGCCTTCCCTGTCCTGACTTAGGATGAGAAAGCTGCAGCACTGAGCTCGTGAGCTCGTCCGTCCTCCCTGGGCCTGGCCTCCTGGGGCCGGGTGGGTATGGAAGGCTGCAAGTGCAGTGGCAGGTGAGGGTGCTGTCCGTCTGGAGGGAGGTGGCTGGGAGCTAGGGGGACACCATGGTCCTCTGACCCTGGTACTGGCTGGGTTGTTGCAGGAGTGGGCAGATGCCTGCTGCAGGGGACTCCGGAGCGTCCACGCCTACATCCTGGTCTACGACATCTGCTGCTTTGACAGCTTTGAATACGTCAAGACCATCCGCCAGCAGATCCTGGAGACGAGGTGAGGGCGTAACACGACCTGGTGCCACCCGTGTGGGCGCTGCCTTGCTAGCCAGTCCCTAAGGGGACAGTGGGAGGGCACAGACGAAGCGTATGTACCCCCACGTTCCCACGCGCACACCCCGATGGGCACATGCTCACCCAGTCAGCTGTCCCTGTTTCTGCTAATTCATTCTGGGACTGTGACCATGGGGTGACTGGATTAGTAGTGACTAAGGGTGGGGACTGGGGGAACCAGGTTGCCAGGGCCACTCAGCTGCATGACTTTAAGCTCGTCTTCATTTACCTGTTTGCTTGTCTGTAAAACGGGTACACTGATACCCCGATCTCTGAATTCAATTGACTTAGGTCAGCTGTGCTTAGAGAATACGTGGGGAACTTGAAAAAAGTGTGTGGAAAAGTGAAGTACAAGTTTATATTGGCATAAAAAAATTGAAATTCATGCATACCGTTTCTCATATTCTGTATTTTCCATGAACTTTTGGAAGACCCCAGCCTAATGGCTCCAGGGCTTAGGGCTGTGCCTGTAGTTGCAGTATTGGCGCGGCCCCGCCTGCCGGTCTCCCAGTCCCGAAATGAGTCTGTAAAACGGGTACACTGATACCCCGATCTCTGAATTCAATTGACTTAGGTCAGCTGTGCTTAGAGAATACGTGGGGAACTTGAAAAAAGTGTGTGGAAAAGTGAAGTACAAGTTTATATTGGCATAAAAAAATTGAAATTCATGCATACCGTTTCTCATATTCTGTATTTTCCATGAACTTTTGGAAGACCCCAGCCTAATGGCTCCAGGGCTTAGGGCTGTGCCTGTAGTTGCAGTATTGGCGCGGCCCGCCCTGCCGGTCTCACAGTCCAGAAATGAGGCTGACAGACAAGTGGCTTTCTGCTTCCGTCACAGGGTGATTGGCACCTCGGAGACTCCCATCATCATCGTGGGCAACAAGCGGGACCTGCAGCGTGGACGCGTGATCCCACGCTGGAACGTGTCGCACCTGGTGCGCAAGACCTGGAAGTGCGGCTACGTGGAGTGCTCGGCCAAGTACAACTGGCACATCCTGCTGCTCTTCAGCGAG